GGCTGTCCTGGAGGTCTGTTGTGCCCTCTAGGACGTGCTAGGGCACACTGTGCTCTGAGTGCGCAGCCCCCTACAAGTGGTAGCAGGGTTCCATGTTCTGGGCTTCCCCCAGTTCATTGGGGCCTTGACAGGGCCCATATCCCCATCACCTGCCTGCCCCCTACTACAGCCAGTGGGGCTTTCACAATGTCGTGCTGCAGGCCATCATTGACTACCATGGTGCCTTTACCAATGTGAGCACTGGCTGAGTGGGCAGTGCCCATGATGCCCACCTCTTTCACAATTCCTCCCTGCCAGTTCTGGTGGGGAGCAGGTGCTTTATGCCAGCTGGGTGAGGTGATGGTCCTGTCTCTCCTCACTGGGGAACCTGTTTGCCTATCCACTCCTCCCCTGGCTTATGTGGCTCAACATTGGCCAGCTAGAGCCCCACCAGGCATACTTCAGCAGTGCCTGGGCTTGACCCATGCACTGGTGGAGTAGTGGACCTTCAGGTCAGTAGTGGACCTCCAGGCTGCAGTGAAGGCTCCAACAGGCCATCTGCACTAGAATACATGTCATGGCTCTGACCAGGGTCCTGGGGTATGAGGATGTGGTCCAGCTGCCATATAAAGGGCATGGACCTGCAGGCAGCCCCCTACTGGTGGTTGGGGTCAGTGATGCTGATTCACTGTGCCCTCAGGGCCTTGACCTTTATGTGGCACTGGTGCACCTGCGCTCCTGCATGCGGCCCAACAGGCCTCGTAGATGGGGCTGTTGGAGTGCCTGCTTTGAAGGAAATGGCTCAGAAATTCAGCTTCACCCCACAGTGCCATGAAGTCTGCCATTTCCTCCTAGGACCAGTTCTGCCCCTGGGGGGTGGTGTTTGGCATCGGGGACAATGCCAGTGTGGCTCCCCCAGGGGCTGCGTGCAACACTCTGGGTGTTGCTAGGCCCGGGCAGGTGCCCAGAGCAAGGGCACAGCACGGACATGCAGGCAGGTGGTGGGGCTGTGCTGGAGGACAATGCTGGGGTCCGGGCAGGCTGCTGTGCCTGGCCTGGGGCCACTGCTGTGGGATCCAGAGGCCAGAGGCTGGCTGCAGGTGGCACAGGGCCTCAGGGTCACTGCAGCATTTTAAGGGGCAGGCTGGGGCAGGCAAAGAGGCATTCCAGCCCTGTGGCTAGAGAAGCTCCTAACCCCATGACCCTGGGACTAGAGGATGCTCCCCTGGTGGTGGGGCTGACTGGGAGCAAATTTGCTCCTGGTTGGTGTCTACACATGCACTACTGTGCAGTAACTATAGTGCAGTTAATTTGCTACCTGCACTTGCAAGTAGCAAATTAACTGTGCAGTAGATTAATTTACTGGACAGTAAGCATCTGCACGTGTAGATAGTGGTGCTTTACCACGCAGTCAGTTAATCTACTGTGCTGTAAAGTGTTTTGTGTAGATGTACCTACTGACAAGACAGGCTGACCATGGGCCATCTGGGTTAGCCAATCAAGGCTGCCCTATTGCACTTCTTTTATTTTGTCAGGCAGAATAAGGGAGACTGAAGAGCATACTGAGATATGTGCACAGGGCTCCCCCCTGCTGTTCACTCTTCAGGGCCTCAGCATGCAAAATGTCTGTACTCGTGGCTTTGGGTAAGTTTTTCTACCATGGGAACAAACCTGGGAAAATTCTCCCAGATCATTTGAATATGTGTACTCAGCCCTAGTCTCTCTAAACCTAATCCTATGAAATGATTAACATGGGATTTGAAGGTGCTGTATACCTCAGGTCCTTTAAAAGTTCTCAAAAAATCTGTGAACAGTAATTCCAGTGAGAAGTTCAAAATATTTAAATTGTTGTCTTATAGTTTGGCAGTTGAGGTTGCACATCACAAAATAAATGTAAGAGCTGCATGTTTACTTAAATTAGTGCTTTCTCCTTTGGTTATTTTAACTTCCCATGTAGTTAAGAGACTATATAGTTTGTGGCCAAAGGCATCCTGTTTAGGGGGACTGATGGAAGAAATGTATTTTAAATTTAGAAAAAGAGACTGACCTTCAAACTTTTCTTGGGGAAAGCATAGGCTGTTTTTATATCCAGTGTTGATTTCTGTTTGCTAATCACAAAAATGTAACACTGGATGTGACCTCAAGATGAGTCCATCCCCCTGCAGTGTGTCAGGAGGATGTATACCTAGACCATTTGAAACAGATGTCTGACTGTGCTGAATCATGAATCAAATAAGTAACTTCAGACCTTGGAATACTTGCTTCTAAACACTGTAGTTTATGCATACTGTGAGCTAATGTTCATTTGTTGTTTTTTTGTGAAACTTGCCTGGAAATAGGAAGTAAGCTGCTTCCTGCATTTGATTGCATACTGAGGATTTATGGAATCTGGGGTTGGTAAAATTTAGTCACACGTGGATTATGTCTTAACATGAAGAGGAGCTGGAAGATGGAAAGCAGCTACATTTATGTTGGGGATTTATTTTTAGGTGTTCTATAATACACACGCATACATTCACACACCTTGTTAAACAAAGAATTCTTCAACATCCAGTAAGTGGCTGTAGATGGATAGCTTTACATGAAGAGTTAAGAAGTTAGTTATTATCTGAGTCCTTCAGTTTAAATGAGCTTAAAACAAATGATTCAGAGGCATGAATATCTGAAATGCAAGAATCTTAACAGTTTATTCCTGCGCATGTGTGTTCCTTGGGCTTACCGCTGACTGCTGTGGGTGGTGCTGTTGAAATTGGCAGGATTACTTACTATAGGAATCTCTGGGGATGGTATTAGATGTGTACAACTGGGTTGTTAACCTATCTCTCTCTAAAGTACAGTTACTGTCCTGAGATTAATATACTACTCTCTCAGTGATAAGCATTATGCTCTGGATTAGCCAGACAGGAATATTACTCCTGATAAGGGCCTCTTTTAGCTCTCAGTGTAGCTCACGTATTTGCACATCCCTGCAGTTTTTGTGCACATGCTTCTATGCAGGTTTTTAAAATAAAAATCATACTGGCCTCTTTTTAAAGGAACCTTCTGTGCTAATGTGTCTTTGCTTGCAATAACCTTTGAGGAAAAGATTTCACAGGGATAGAGATTTAGCTAGCAAACATACAAATGGGGAACTTTTTAATACACCAGAGGGATTATAATTAACTTCTTCATTTTAACTTTAGTATTAAGGCACATAAAGCTTAAACTGTTTAATAACTAACCTCAAGCTTCTAAAAATAGCAGTAAAAGTCCCCCAAGTATAAAGCTGATTTTAAGTGCAGTAGCTGGGTTCTCTGTCTGAGGTATATATTTTGCCACAGACTGCCTGATGCATTACATTGCTTTGCAGTATGTGTGAGAGTAAAGCGGATGAGTCTGTGCATCAAGTAGAATGAGAAAAGAAGTATTAGCCACAGGGTTAACATGCACAGTATGGTTAATGTCAGGTGCTTGAGGCCTTTCAGACTGAATACATAGAGGGGCTTTTCCTAATCTCTTTCCTCCCAAATTTCTGATGAGGGATTGTGTTGTGTTACTCAAAAGCCTACCAGGCCACTACCTTGTGCAAAAGAACCACAAAGTTGTTCAGCACAAATGCTGAAAGGCTAGGCTGCCTTGTGGAAACATCTCATCTGTCCTCCCACTTTGCCTTTTCCTCTAATCTGTGGAAGAAATGACTCCCTGTTTCCCAGCAGCACTAGGGCAGGGACATTATACAGCATCACTGACTGGTAAGATGAGGATTTCAAAAGTGTCTACATTATCCAAAAACTGGTTTGCTTCCAACAAATTTACCTGACCCTCCATCACACTGACACCAGGCCTGAAAACTGCTAGCATCTTCAGACAAAGAACAAATCTGAAGGCCATCTAGTCAGATGTGGTGTGTCAGTGCCCACTCCCAGGTCTTTTCTTCTGCCTCCAACTCTCACCACCACTGCATCATGCAAAGAAAATCAGTGAGCAGTGAACCACAGTTGGGCTAGCTTTTGTGGGATGGCTAACCCATTTTGGGTCATGGTGTGGTGCTGAGATGAAGGAGCTATTGGCTGACTTTGAAGGCTCCTTCTGTCAAAGGTCTGAGAACCTAGTTTGCTATGGCAGCTAGGAACTGGCAGGCCATGGTACACTGCAGTGGTCTTGCTCCCTTGGCAGCCATGCAAATGCTCTGTGTTCAGCTTTGCACGCAGTTGGTTGTTGATAATGTAGGGTGGGCAAGCAGGCACATGCCTCAAGCACTGCCTAAGGGCAGGGGTGCTAGAAGGATTGGTGGGGGGGTGTTACTGCTTGCCTTGCTGTTGCCTGCCTTCCTGGCCATATCTATGTACCTGTGACGCAGGCTGCTGGCACAGGCAGTGTGAAAGATCCCAAGGCATTCTGGGAATTGTAGTTTTGTGGAGCAACAGTGGAGTTTGCTGTTGCTGAGGGAAGAACCGACCCATTTTTTTGCTGATGAATTCGAATTCAGTGTGTCTGGACATGGGCTTCAGTGAGCAAAAAAAGGGGCGTGGGTGAAGAAATTTTACCCTGGCAGCGGCAAACTCCACTGCTTGTCTAGAGCCCCAGAATGCCTTGCAGTGCGTGAGACTGTCTTGCTCTTTGCTTGTTGCTGTTTCTGGACCTGCAGTTGAGAAGGTACGAGGTCGGGGAGAAGGGTGAGAGATAACTGTCCCAGATACATTTTTTCCATGCTGAACTTCTAGGGAACAGACATGCAGAGGCCTTGTCCGTTGCGCTGATGGGTGGTTGGAATGCAGAGTGAGCTGTGATTTCCTTTAAGTCCTTCTCTGCTGTCTGAACATGGGTCAGCTGAGTTGCAGGGATTTTGAGCATTTCTTCCCCTCCTGAAAGTGACAGGAACCTGCAGTCTTTGACATTTGAGGCCTTTTTTTTCATTTAGGTGCCTAAATATGTACTGAAGAGCCTAATTAGGGACCAGAACTTGAATGTTTTGGATTAGTTTTGAAGCATTTGAGTACATTTTTCTTGTTTAACTGCATTTCTGCTTGCATGTCTTACAGATTGAATACTTGCTTAAAAAACTCACTGAAGCAATGGGGGCAGGTTGGCAGCAAGAGCAGTTTGACCATTACAAGATCAGTCTCAACACCAGTCAAGAAGGTCTTTCTGTATGGGAACTGATTGATCTTATTGGAAGTGGACAGTTCAGCAAAGGGATGGACAAACAGACAGTATCCATGGCAATTAACGAGGTCTTTAATGAGATTATATTAGATGTATTGAAACAGGTGAGAACTGCATAAATGTGTGAAAATGGAATAAATGTGTTACTGAATTAAGAGATCATTTAAAACTTGTATAGCAGTTTCTTTACCTACTTATTTTGAAGAAGTCCAAACACTTGTCAGCTTTCTGAAGATTGACTACTTTCACGGGTTTTTAAATGTGACTTTTTATTTTTCAAGCAACTTCTTTATGAAAGCAAAACTGCAAATATTAAAAGATCTATTCATTCCTTATAGTACTGTGAGGTATTAGTATTTGGAAAATAGTACTTAAGAACCTAAGGAAAACTGGCCTTTGCATTTCTGACTTAAAATACAAACTTCTTTTTTATTGGTATTAATAATTCACTAGCTAAGAGAATATCTACAAAAAAATTGTTAGAAAATTTTTTAAGCTTTTATGAAAATATTAAAATTTAATCTGCAGCTACTTTGTAGAATAAAAGTTGTGTACCTGGTAGATGTTTTTATGATGCTAGAACTGTCCACTGGTCCTAAATATGTAAGGCTAAACTGGTACAAAAACTATGCATAAGCAAGCCTGCGCACTGTCTAAGTCTGCCTAATAAATCGTAGGGTTAGTAATTTATTAAACTGAAGTTGGTCAGAAAATAATAGATCTGTCTTGATATTCATAAGATATTTCTGTCAGTCTTCTGTATCTCCTTTCCTCCCCCAGTTGGAAGGATTGCCATTTTACTATTTTATCATTCGGCCCCCAAATATTTCTGAAAGTCCAAGAAGGGCTGTAAAGAACTAAATTTCTTTCATAGGAAAAAGATCTTCCTTAAAACCCTAAATTAAGCATGTGTGTGATACTCTTTTCAGGCAGCGTGCCTCCACCTATCTAAAGTTGTAATTCATGCTCACATGTACCATATGGAGGACTATCTGTCATCTTTGATTTCTTCATAAGGATAAAAAAGGCTTTCTTGGCAGGCTTTCGAGATCCATTCAGAAGTCGTCAGAAAGTCTTGGCACCAAACAGTACTCAACAATGCAAAGCATCTATTCTAGTTAACTCTTGATCAGCTGAATTTTGTCCTCAACCATTCTGCTGATACTGTTAAAATACAATAATTGGCATCAAGTCAGTTCATCGTCTGGGATTTAAAAGGAAATCTTGATGGGTGGGGTGGGGGGAGGGAGGAGGAAACATTTTGTGTTATTTTAAAACATTTTCAGTTTTGACACCATACTGTCTGATATAAGGTTTGGTATCCTATCTTGACTGTCTCCTTTCTTTCCTCTCTGGTGACTCTGCCTTTGTCCAGGAATATTTCGCTACTTTTCAAAAAGAGTTTCCTGTTACAGGTTGGCCCCTGTTCCTTACCCAAACCCATCATACTTACCATTGGCAGAGGTGCAGGCACTGGTAAAATCTCAGGTACCTTAATTTCTAAGTCAGAGGTATCTCTTTAAAATGCCTATGAAGAGGAAGAAATCACAGGGAAGAATTTTTTTTATTAGTAAGAGGAGACTGTGTGAAAGTGAATTTTATCTAAATATATACTCACTGAGGATACAAATTCATTTGAATACAATGGGCTGTATTCCAGCTTTGGGCACAGTACTGAGCAAGGGAGTTTTGCAAAGCAAATGGGGTTTGACAGTCTGTCTTAGACATACTTTGGTCTACGCAGTTAGCATCTGGATATCTCAAACCCCAAGTTATCCTGACTCCTTTTCAGGATGATAATTTCAAAGTATTAATAAATGATGTGCCACTTCCTGACATGAGTTTACTCCCCTCTTTTATTGTACATTATTCTGGACACTCCAGAATTTGCAATAAGGTTATGCAGTGCACAAAATTTAAATTTGTGACTTTATTTCTCTGAAAATATAATAATAATACTTCATACATTGGTAATTAGTACCCCCAAAAGCTTTTCCTTTAGGAGTTATTAGAGGGGCTGTTAGGAATGTACAAGAAGCTGATTTGCAGAAATCCTAACAATAATCTGGTTTTTGTGTTTTAACTTTGTAAAAATTACTAAATACATTTGTGAGCAGGAAATTGCCTGCCTGGTTAAGGATGGATTGTGCGAATCACGCTACATATCGAGATTCTTTTTTGCGCTCCTGTGTGGCTACCCAGATCTCGGAGACTGGGTAGTTAGGCGTAAACAAAGTTTATTTACTCGCTCCCTCCATGAAGCAAGTGAGCGGGGAGGCCAGGGAATGGACAGGGCCTTGGCTCTGGGTTATTCCTTGTTATCTGGAGGAGTGGAGCATGCATGAGGTAATAGCCCTTCTCATCTGATAGACATTAGCTTGCCTGCGAGGAAGGAAGGAGACAAATGAAGCTTAGGGAGGTGCCCTTTAGTTACAGTCTCTCTCAAACCTGCTCCGGGAGAGGTGCGTCTTATCCTGGCTCAGGGCAGTACCCAGAGCGGAAATACAGCCCCTTGTATTTGAATGAACTTGTATATTCAATGAATACATTTCCCAGTCTTTTCTTTCTATTAAGAAACAAAATCCTCTCTGTGACTTCTTCCTCTTTTGGATTCATCCTAAAAAGGCAACTTTGAATTACAAATCAGACTACCATGCTCCTTCGCCAACTGTGGTATGATGGTACTTTGTCTACAGCTAGTTTAACTGCTGGACTCTGAGTCTGTCAGTTTTCCTCGTTGCTATGTGAGAGAGCCACACAAGCAGGGCAGGAAAAAAAAGAAATATGAGACTAATTGCAAAACCAGCATAGCAGCAGGGGCTGGGATAACTTAGACAAGGATAGAACTTAAACTCATCTTTTGAAACTGACTATAACTTAGACACTGATAGAACTTAAACTCATCTTTTGAAACTGACTAGTGTTCAAGTTGATGCCCCTTCTTAAAAGCCAATAAAATCAAATGTTTGGTAGACCATTAAGTTATTTATCTTTCAACATGCACATCCTTTCCTGTGGAATATCTTCTCAAATAGCTTTCACCACACTGGATAAAGAACAACAGGTGCGTGGCTTCTAGTACAATAATTAATAGTGCAACAATTAATATTGACCTACTTACATTTTTAATCATCAGACTTCAGAGGTATACCTAGTTGAGAGGAGTGGCAGATCATTCACTTTGTAACCAAATCCTTAAACTTTGCACAAATTTGGACTAAATGTGGTTTATTCTGGGGATCTAATAGAAAGTCAGGAGGAGTGGAAATCTTAAGGGCACATTAAAGCTGTATAATTGTTGGCTGGCAGCTGCTGAAACTGCATGTTTGCCATGGCTTCAGCTAACAGAGAGCTCTCAATTTGTCTCTCCTATTTGCTAACTGCTGGTGGTCATGGTTCTTAAAATAGCTGGCGTTTGTAATTATACATAAACATGTAGTATATTTGTTATGCCTTTGTGTAGCTTAAGAAAGGATGCTAATTTTTCTTAGGTAAATAAATCTTTGTGACCTCTTTAATATTTCCTTTGTGTGAAATACAAGCATGTAGTTGCTTGCATTTCACATACAATTCTCCATGTGAAATATAAGAAGGTTCTGGTAAACTTTCTTGCCCCAGGGAAAAGAAAAGGGATGTGACCTTGAACTCTTTCTGCTTCAAAAGAAAACTGCAGTATTTTTCTTTCTCACAATTATATCAATTTTCCACAAAAAATAGAGAGGCATTAAGTATAGCGCTTTTGTTTTTCCCTGGCTGCTCCTTTTACCAAGAAACATTTGGGAAATTGAATCCACTTTCAAGTATAGTTAATCAGTTACCAGATATTCCAAGTACTTTTAGATGATTTTTCCAACTAAGATCCCCATATTACATCAAGAATAATACTTCCTTGCTAAGGCGTCAGTGCTTTTGTTCAAGTTACCAGTAAATGTAAATAAATGGAGCCAAAATTCCACTAATGGCTCTGCTTCTAGTTCAGCTGAGAATGAATCACTTTCAGTTTTGTCAGACTTCTCTTTCCTGGTTTCTGAAAGGCCATTTACTATAAGGAGTTTGAGAATATCAGAGGTCAGGAACCGGAGACACACTTCTTTCTTGTATTTAAGGTTGATTGAGTAGCTTTCAGAAAAACTAAAATGCTGTGGGTGAAGTCCTGTCTCAATTTAAATCAATGGCAAAATTCCCATTAAGGTCAGGATTTTGCTCTATGCTCCCACAACACAGCAAAAAAGCCAGGAGTATGGTTTCCACTCGCCTTCTGGTTATTGGGTTATTTATTTTTAAAAGGTTTTTGTTTTTAAGAATTCAGCAAAATGAGCAATGTAGCAGAAAATGTTTTAGGGAAGTAGAAATGCTTGCAGGCAATGGTGGTTTTGTTTGAAACATGCACAATAAGCAGTAGGCTTATAATACCTAGCTTCAGGTTCTGTGGACCTTGTTTAATGACCTTTAAGTTGATGACATTTTATATGTGATTGTTCTGAAGTTGATATCATCAGACATTGTGGGTGCCAAGCAAGGTGCTTAGTACTTCAGAAGGTTTGAGGAGGGGGAAAAGAAGTAAGTGGTTAGCAAAAAATTTTCAGATGGCATCCAGGGAATGTATAGTAATGTTCCAGTTTCTACAGATAGCTTTCCTGTCCACAAATACAAGAAAGAAAGTGCACATGATTTCCATGAATGAAACCACACATGATGACATGCAGGTATGGAACAGACATAGGTAGCGTTAAGCACTTAAGTCAGTGATTCACATCCTTTGCAGTCTCAAGGCACTCATTGGAAAATGTCAGCTTTTAGTTTTCATTTGATTTTTTGACTACAGAAAAATAATAGATCAATTCTTCTGCTGAAAAGAACTCAAAGACCACAACAGGTCAGAATCTCTGGGTTTATCCTGTGAACAGCGTTTGGATATCTAACAGTGTGGAACCTGATATATCCTTGTGTGGAAGCTGTGGCACCCTTGAAAGGGGTGCCCTTGCTAGGGCACCCTGCTTGCCAATCACTGACTTAAAGCATGATCTAACTTGTGCCCTCAGGCCTTGTGCTTAAAGGCCAAACCCATACAATAGGTACCAGACACTTAAATAATCACTATTTTTACAGGGCTATATGTTGAAAAAAGGCCACAGAAGGAAAAATTGGACAGAGCGTTGGTTTGTACTAAAACCCAATATTATTTCATATTATATGAGTGAAGATTTAAAAGACAAGAAGGGAGACATCATATTGGATGACAACTGTTGTGTAGAGGTAAGAATGAATTGCAACTTTCTCTAAATATAGAAATATACTATCTTCTTTGGAGGTAGACTCGCAGTATTTGCTAGGTGATACTGGAGTAGTTATTTTTTTACTCTGTATTAGTGGCTCCCTCTGGATATTATCTCTAGATTTTATTTTTATAAAGAGTTTATAATGAAACCACCTTGCATTTGTACACACAGGTGCTTAAATGAGAAGTGTCAGGAGTAAAAGTTAACAATGTTCTAAGGATTCAGTTGTCCAGGAACAGCAGCTTTTCCTTCTTTAGATACCCAAACAATTGTATGTGCAACATAAAATATGCAGTTGAAATATACCATAATTATAAGCATGTTTAGCTGTGACTAATCAGCACGCAGATAGGACTCTGGTCCAACATAGTATTAGATTCACTGGAAACTAATGGTTTGTTTTCTATTCTAGTCCTTGCCTGACAAAGATGGAAAGAAATGCCTGTTTCTTATAAAATGTTTAGACAAAACTTTTGAAATCAGTGCTTCTGACAAAAAGAAGAAGCAGGAGTGGATTCAGGGTAAGTTTTTTGAAGTATCAGATATTGTGGGAGTTAAGATCCCAACTTGGCCATTCATTTAAGCCTATGCTTAAATCCAGGATTTTCAAAAGTGATTAGTAATTGGGTGTTTACATCTGTATTTGAATGATCAGATTGAGATAATTTAAAGGGTGTCCAATTTATCAGGTAGCACTAGCCACCCAGCACAGAGAGTTGGACTTCTTTCTGGGGTATCGGGTTAGGCAATGAAAAAGTGGCATTCAAGGTTTCTTGAAAACCTTAACAAAACACTTGCAAGTTGAATCTAGTACTGTTTTGTGAGTTTGGATGTTGTAGGAAAAGCACATGATGGAGCCCTGCAGACAGGTAGTTCACTTTCAGCAAATGATTTGCTTCAGCCATGTACTTTGGAATGGCCAAAAACTAATCTAAATGAAACAAATGTTTTGTTGTTTCTAACACGCATTTCTTGTCTGATCTGGATTTAAATGTTCTGGGAGTAAAAGTGAGTTGAAAAATATTTGTAGTGGAGGAGATTTGGTTTAATGTGCTGAGATGAGCAATTTTAGTTTAATTGCTTAGTTTGAGGCAGAGTGGTTTAGTGGTCATGGCACAGGGCTTGGAGGCAGGACCTGCTGTGTTTACAACCTGTCTCCACTCTTGTCCTACCAATCGATGACAGTTCTTTCCAGTGAGGATAAGAGTGGGTTTGGCTTGAATCCTGTCTTCAAAGGCCTCTACTTAAAGCATTGGTAAGGCCACTTAACATCTGTACATCACTGTAATCCAGAGCACTACATATTATTTTCACTTGTTTTGCTTTAAAGTACTTACTTGATTTAAAGTAACACATGACCTCTAGGCAAAAATTACCCTGCCCTAAAATGATCTTGTTTCATAGTTGTAGTTAGTTTATTTCTGTTTCATTCATTTTTCTAACAGTCAATTATTTTTGCTGGCTTTTATATTCAGTCCCTGAAATACAGTTAAACCAAACTACTTTTGTGCTGGAAGGAATTACCTTGTTTAATAATGAGTACAAGCAAGATGAGATGGTGGTTGTAAGAGAGAACTTCAAGTAGTACTAATGGTTGATTGCACCTAGAGAATAAAAGTGCAGCTGGATTGGGAACACTAAAAAAAGCTTCTAGGGAAGTACATGGACATTTTGCACTTCTTTTTTATCTTGGGCCTTATCTCTTAGATGAGTCACACAATCATTTACATACAAAACCTCTTAACCTAATGCCCCATTAGAAATTAACCTTGATGACCTGCAAAATAGGGTTGGTGTATTGGAAATGCTGGATAGTCCCCTCATTGAGCTATGAACAGCACTGCATTATGTAGAATGCAGTCACTCACATAATTAGAGTGAGGCAGGAGGAGGAGCAGGCATGCATGATTAAAACAATAGCATGGCTGTTTTTAATAGCAAGGCTATTCAGAGTTTAGTGTTACTTCTAACTACTATTTCCCTCCACCTCTGTGGACTCTCTTCAGCCATTCAGACCACTGTAAACCTGCTGAGGGTGGGGAGCCCTCCACCTCACAAAGAAGCACGGCAGAAGCGGAAAGAGTTGCGTGAGAAACTTTTGGCTGAGCAAGAGGAATTGGAGCGGCAAATGAAAGAACTCCAAATCGCCAATGAAAACAAACAGCAGGAGCTGGAGAGAGTGAGAAAGGTGGGAGCAGCCTTCAAGTTTTCAGCTGTCCCCAACCAGCCTAGAACTTCTTAAAGTACTAGTATGTCAGAGCCAGATGTGTGTTTTCTGTGCAAGTGTAAGGAGGTGCACTGAGCAGGCCCCTTGAGCTCTGCCTAGCTCAAGATCCCAAGAGCCAGGAGGGACAGACAAGGAAGTTTAATGCTGGTTCCAGAGGTGGATCTAACGGGGTGCACTGGTACAATTTCACCGTTTCGAGTCCTGGTCTACTCAAAGTTTAAAATCAACTGCCTGACAGTGGTAGCATTTCGAGTTAGGCAGCATGGAGGGAGTGAGTTAACTTCATGAGTCATTATAATCTACCAGATTCCTTCTATCTAGGCACTCCATTCCACAGGTGTTAACAGCCATCTCTTTTTAATGGTTTTGATGATGCGCTAGTCAAGCTAGCCTTTGTTCTGTAATTCTGCTGTCTATTAGCTGCTCCTGGTAATGAAGCTCCTATTTCACAGCCCTGTAGATTATTTTTAATTCATTCCAATGAAATTATATTTGTTTTGCTTTGCTTTTAAATGGACTAATACAGCCCTAGATATCTAGCATATTTGTAAAGCTTCTAGTTTATTTTTAACTGGAGAAAAATGAGTTATGTTCAAAATCCTAGATCTGCCCATGTGTGGCTCAGCCTGGAATTAGGTGGGGACTAAACCAGGCCTTAATGGAGATAATTGCTACAACAGTTTTCTAGAGGCTGTTTTAATGGATGGTTTAGCTTTGCCCTTGTCTCCCAGAGAGGGTGGTTGTAAAGCCTGTGTCATCTCAATATAAGGGACATCCCAGTGATCTTTGTAGAGCAGCTTCATTCCCTGGGTGTGGCTTTAGGCCTCTTTAGGAGCCAGGAGGAACTAGACACTTTCACCATTTCCACTGGGATTTTCTTAGTTTTACTGGATTACAAAAATCACAGAATGTGAGGTATCGTGGACTGAGAGGAAAACCCTGTCCCACTATGTACCTTACAACAATATGTACAAAGACCATGAATGGATTCAGGATTTTAAAAAAGGGAGGTGCAGATAGTGTGGCACATCATCATATATAACATAATGCACATTTTTCTCCAGTTAGAGAGAAACTAGAATCTTTACTTGCATACTAGGGGGTTAGCAGTATATTGTTCAGTTTAAGATCAAAGCAAATATTGAAATGTACACTATTTTGCTAGATTTATATATAAAGTTTTAAAAAAAACCACAAACCAGGCAAAAAATAGTCAAAATAGTCAAAAGCTGTTGTGTCATTAGTCATTATAGTTAAATGTACATCTCTTATTGAGGTTCATAAAACAAAAGCTGGCCTTCTTGAGCATCTTGACCATACCGCCAGTATTTTATAGTCAGCCATTTCTACACCTGAGTTAAGGTTAAGGCTAGAGCTAAAAACACTCTGCAGGGCTGTGAAATGGAAGATACATTACAACAACTGGCTGACAGACAACAAAATTGCAGAAGAAAGGATAGTTTGAATAGTGGAACATCAGGACCATTTAAAAGGATAGAGTAGGGATGTCGAACTCATTTGGTTCCAGGTACCAGGCAAATGGTATGGGGACAGTCCATGAGCCACTGGGCTATGCAGCTTGGTTGCAGAGCTGCCACTGGTGCTGGGCTGTGTAGCATGGCCCCTGAGCTCCAGAGTATCCACTGCATGCATGCAGCACAGCCCTGGGATGGCACATAGCGACTCTGGAGTTGTGCTGTTTACAGCAGCAACTCTGGTTCATAAACTGGAATGAGTGCTCCATACAGCACACAGGGCCATCCAACATGTCCCACATGCTGCCTGCGGGTCACTCTGAGGCCCATGGACAGCACCAGAAGACAGATAATGCAGCTCTGCAGGCTGGATCTGGCTCGCAAGCCATATATTTGATACCTCTGGGATAGGGTTAACACCTATGAAGTGGGGAGAGATTAGCAGGAATCAGGGAGAGGATAATGAACCAGGATGTCAATTGGCTCTTTCAGCACTGCCCAAATAGAGATGCTGCTGCCCCTCTCAGGCAGTTGGTTTTAGAGTTTGAGTGGATCAGGAATCAAAAGGGGGTGCAATTGCACCATTGCCAGATCCACCCCTGACAAACACCCCTTGAAACATGTTGCCAAATATTTGTGTGCCTGTGTATAGTTCTGTTGGAGCAGTTTAGGCATTGATAGTTGAGATGAACATGCAGTTCTTGGAGTACAGTTTGTTTATAATCAAACTAGGATCAAATTTGAATAGATACTGCAGAACCAGGTTCAGAAAACAAAATAACTGACATTGGCAGAAAGTTTATAAGTAGATAAATACATCTTCAGAACGCTTCAAAGAAGTTAAGTTTAGATTAAGACTAATTGGCAGATGGTTCTATAAACAGCCCTAATAAGCACTACACATCTGCCATTCCTGTTCAATATAACAGCAGATTAAATATCCCAATCAATTTTGGATGCAAGAGAGGTCTTCATCTGTGTGATAGCTCCAATGAGAGGTTTTGTGAACATTAAAATATCCGTTCTGTTCTATTTTCAAGTGGAAGGGGGGCATTATTCATCAAGAAAATAACTGCCAATCAAGCTTTTATTGACTAACTATATTTTTAATTAAGTGCCTGTTGAACTTAAAAATATAGACCATTTTTATCCATAGTACTGCCAACCCCGTGTTTCAGCTGCTACATATAGTCCTTCCTGTTAACAAGCAACACCAGAACCTTACATCAATCTCCCCGTGTTGTACAGTGAAGACAGCTACCATTTCTAATCATTAGGGGAAGAAATAGCCAGATAAATGTATTCTTATTTTGCTTATAATTTGAAATTTCTTTCCTAACATCACACTTGCCATTTCTGGATCAGCAACAGGCCTACAGTCTGATTTGTCTTGGGAACTATCGTGCTAGACATGTGTTTTATCCCAGTGCAGAAGGGAAATTAATTGTACACAGTACTTTCCTTTTAAGCCCCAAAGATTCTGACTGCATGTCTTAAAATTGTGATATGTTGTATCTAAAATAGTTATAACTTCTTTTCTCTCTGAGAAGTCAGGTGAAGAACAAAATTATTCTTTTAAGGCTCTAGAAAGAATTAAAATGTAGTTTTCTCTTGAAAAGTGGTGTGCAAAGACTAAAGGGACATAGCCAGAGGCGAGGGCTGGGGGAAGGGAGAGGTAGGGAGGGGGGAGGGGGAATGTTATTGGCATTCTTTTTGATGATCTGCATTTATCAAATAAAATGAATCATTGAGTCCTCAGTAGCATTAAACACATTCAGAAGGCTCTTTGGCCTGTATCTTCTGCTCTGTTCTTCTTTTTATGTTGTTCATTTTGTTGACTCTTTTTCTTTCCCTGGTCATACCATCTCACAGTACACATGCTCTTTGTAGTGCTGATTATACACACTGTTTATATTTTGTGACATACAGCATGTGAAAGGAATAGAGGTGCAATGATACATTGGTCCAATATCGGATCAGTTCCGATACAAAGAAAATTGGCTATGTTGGAAGTTGGCCTGATGGGGCCGATAATTTGGCTGATAAATGCCAGCGCATGTGCGCAGGTGCAGCACAGCACTCAGGCAGCGAAGAGCAGAGGCTGGCAGCATGGAGAGCGACCTCCAGCTGGTAAGTCTGTTGTGGTGTAAGGGGAGGGAAGAGGCTGGGGGCAGGGGAGCAGATCAAGGCCCCCGCGGTGAGGGAGGGAGGCGGCAGGTGCTGCCCAGCTAGGGCGGGGCGGGATGTGGGATGGAGGTGTAGCTCATCTAGGGGGGCAGCTCCTGCTACTGCTTGTGCCCAGGGAGGACACCAGGGGTGGGCCCCAGATCTGCATGGGGCAAGCGGGCAGACTGCAGTTGCAGGCTGGAGCCAGGCTCTTCTCACCAGGGGCTGGGCGCGGAGCGGGGGCTGCGGAGGGGGCTGCAGCCACCCCAGATTTCACCATAGCTCTCTCCCAGCACTGCCACTGCATGCCTGGCACAGCCCCGGCTCAACCCCCAGCCCACCCCACGTGGGGCACAGGAGAGAGGGCATGGCTCATTTGGGGGGGGGGGGGGGGCAGCACCCTCCCAGTACCACTGCCATGCACCCAGCATAGGGCTGGCTTTTCCCGGCACATGGGGGGAGGCGGGGGTTGAGCCAGGAAAAGCCAGGTCTGTGCTAGGGGTGCAGCAGTGGCGGTGCTGGGAGGGAGCTACGGTGAAATATGGGGTGGCCCCTCCGTAGCCCCTGCTCTAAGCCCACCCCTGGCGAGAAGAGCCTGGCTCCAGTCCGCAGCTGCAGCCTGCTCACTTGCCCTATGCAGATCTGGGAGCACATGCCCTTCCCGTCCCCATGCCTTCCCATGGCTCCAGCAGCAGTGGGAGCCACCCCCTTCCCAACAAGCCGTGCCTCCGTCCTGCGCACCGCCCTGCCCCGACTGGGCAGTGCCTGCCCCTGCTGTCTCCCTCACCACAGCGGGGGTTGATCTGCCGCCCCATGCCCCTTACCTCCCCACTCCCCTTCCACCACAACAGATTGACCAGCTGGAGGCAGCTGTCCATGCTGTATCAGACATTGGATTGGTATCGGCTGATCTACTTCCTTAAAAATCAGATATTGGTATTGGCCCCAAAGATCTCTGTTGGTGCATCCCTAGAAAGGAAGCATACACTTTCCCCTGCTGTCCTTGCTGGCTATTAAAACTCATGTTCTTTAGCAACATGACATGAAAAGCAGAAGTTCTTTCCTCATAACCTTCTCAATGCAGTTGATTTTGCATTTCCATTGAAAACACTTCTTCCTTTTTATCTTGGGCACCTCATAAATGGAAAACGGATTATAAAACATTTAAGATAAGATCCAGTTATGAAGTAACCTAGAATGACTGGACATAAAGTTTAACGGCAGTAACTCACACTTTGTGTCCAGTGCTGACATGCAGTCTTAGGCTGTTGTCTTGCAAGTATACCCACAATTAACTTTTCGCATGTGACTAACCAGGGCAGGCAGTGTGTTTTAAAATTTAAGCTTGTGGTGTGTTGTGTGGAACAGGGGTGTTATAACTCCCAATTTTATCACAGGTCTGATATTTGTGGAGGGGTGTGGGGGTGTGTGTCATACTTTAAGGAAAAGGTGATGGGGAGTGAAAGGGAGGAAGAAATGCTGGATTGTTCTCCCAGCAGTAGTACATTGTTTGGTGAATGGTAATGGACACAGAGGTGGCAGTGAGCCAACCAAAGAGATTTTTGAGGCAAGTAGCGCCATTCAGGTAGTAATTCCTTAAAACTAAAGAGCGGCACTATGAACAAACTATCTGCTGCACTTTCACGAACTAAAAGTATGGGGCATTTTTGGTGGAAGAATTAGGAGCTCTTGACTAGTTCAGAAAACATGCTTAAGGGAAATAGGCTACATAAGCTCCTGGAAACTGAATAGTGCTGGGAAGTTTGGAGCTCGGGCTGCATCTGTCTGTGAGCCAGCAGCACACAGGGCAACTCAAGTGTACTCTGAAAATACTGTAATCCAAACCTGTGTATGTGCTGGTAATGATCCATTTAACAAAATTCTGAGATTCCCCTTAATCTCCTGAAAGGGTAAAATTCACCCCATAGAGAGACCAAGTACAAGGCCCTTGCATTCTTTAAGTCAGTGGGGGTGGAGGGCAACCTTTTTAGCATATGTGCCACACATTAAACCCCTCACCCTTACTAATTTGCCACTCTGATCCCCTTTCCCTGCCTGATCTTCTGCTCAGCTTTCTGTTCCCTACTCTATGTGCTTCTTGTCCCCTCCCAGATCTGCCACATGCTACCCCTGCTTTAAGTGATGCATAGATCACGTGCCTTCTCCCCAGAGGTGAGTTGAAGTTTGAGCACACTAAAGACCACCTCCTCCTCTTTGGAACCTGATTTATATACTTCCTATTCAAAGGCCAGGAGAGGGTTTTTTCTGACATGAATTCAGGGTAAAAATGTATTGGTCATCAGTCTCTAGCAGCAACTAGGACCCAAGCAGCAGTTGGTTCTGCCTTGGCTGGGATCCTCCTTGATGCCTGCAGGTGCTATGAAAATGCATGGGTCAGCTTATACAGCATCACTGGAAGGATTGGGGCTCTCGGATTCCAGTGTGATAAAGCTGCTGATGTGCTTGGCTCTTATGTTCACATTGGTTGTGTTTTGTCCCATTAAATTAAGAATGGTGGGAGCAGGTAAATTTTGAATAGCTGTGGTCAAATACTAGTTAGGTGATTTGTAAAATTTCTTAAGCAATCTAAGAGTCCTCCTTTTCTCCCTTTTTGCCTTCGTATTGGTCAGCATTCATCGTTTCTGTTAGCCAACGGCCAGCTCATACAGGCACAGCCTAATTTTGAGTGTCAAAAAGGAGCAAGAAAGTTTCACATCTCTCCCAGAGAGCTGATGGGGAATAGGAAACTTGCATTTAGGCTTGGTTAAATATCCCAGCCTAAAATATTGCATTAAAAAACACTTTCCACAATGGTCATTCCTAAAATTGTATATGGATTTATTTGTAGAGATGACATTGTGAAGGAATTATTTTTGTTTGGAAAGGAAATTGTAGAATGCTTTGCAAGTTAAACATGTCCTATGAGAATCGGTCAGAAATTTCACACAAAGGCTAAGGCTCCTAGCTCTTTCTGTGAAAAGATAAAGGGATGTTGCCTTCATCGTGGAGTGAAGGTGGTACTAATAATTGGCTCCAATCTTAGCTATTCTTATGAATAATGTACATATGATTACCCACCATTAATGGAACAAAGTCTAATTGAGTCAGTTAGTATTTAATAATTTGACTATGGGAATTATTTGTTTTCTAATGTTGAATTACTGCCACTTTAAAAAAAAAATTCTACCTCTGTACACACAAACATTCTTTGTTGCTCAAATTTCTTGAAGGCAGGTTTGCCTAAAGTTGGAAGGGAAATGGTTTTCCTACCCAGCTGAGGTTTAGAAAAATTTTCCCATACCAAATTGGAAGAAAAAGTTATTCTTAGAAAACATTTTCAAACTGAAAACCTATAGAAAAATGTTGATATCAAGTTTGTTGATGATCATTTTTTTTATTATTATTATTCTGACCTTTTATCATTTGTTTGCATTAAAACTGACTTTTCATTTCTAAATTATAAAGGTTCTTTCTGGCCCAAATGGGGGGCGGGGAGGGAGGAGGGAGAGAAAGTTGCAAGTTTTTTTTGAAGCAGAGCTGCTTAACAAGTTTCCTATCTCAGAAACAGTTCTGGCTTTAACAAATTCACTTTTTGTATAGTAAAAACTAAAATGTTTACCTGCTAAGGTCATTGAATAAGAGCTCCTTCTTTGTACAGCAACTTGAAGAAGCAGCTGCTCGGGCTGCAGAAGAGGAGAAGAAACGTCTTCAGACTCAAATGGAATTGCAGGACCGATTCAGTTCAGAACTTGAGCGAGAGAAAATGGTAAGTTTGTGATTGCAGAAAAACTCTTTGTGCCAGTATCTAATAAGCTGAGCTTTCGCTTATGACTTTTGCTTGTGGGCACTCGGTAATCAGTTTCTAACTGGGAGTGTACAAACATGGACATACAGTATCCTCATGCTGCATTGATATTAAAAAATGTCCCTCTCCAGAATTACAGGGCCATCTTGATTTTAACCTGGTTGGCATATCAGTGCCAAAGGGAGAAAGACTTAGGGGGGATTTCTTCATGATTTTAAGTTTAATTTGATTCTTTCACTCTTAAAATTCATCATATTAAAATCATTACAAGCTTTGCAACTCTGTTGTTTATGAAAATGGTAGCTCTTAACTCTTTTGTTGCAGTTTTCTTCTAATTGCAACCTAAGTTTTCCAAGTACTTTACAAGGATCGAGAAGAGAAGAGTGATAGGGGTTAAGCGACCTGTCCAAGGTCACAAAATCAGTTAATGGCAGAGCTGGGGATTGGACTCAGCTCTCTGGACTCCCATGCCTCTTGCTTTAAAAACCCAATTGCTATCGCTGAAAAATGTTGAGCGTATGTAGCACATGTTAAACTCAGGAAGCGACATACCTGGTGGTATAGCCTTACAACCTTGAATTGGAAAGCCCAGGATCTGTTTACTAACTAAAAGATTAATTTTATAATTGTTCAGGGTCTTAGTATTGTCTTAAATGTTATATTACAAGTTAGTTACTAACAATAAAGGACCCTAGCTGTCACTCAGACATGGCAGAGCCTCTTGACATGAAGGGCATCTATATATGTTCTCTAGGGGTGGGGGTAGGCAGTGCCTGGAGCATCTCGTATATCAACACCCCCGCACTTCAAAATGGCAGTGGGGGTGCTTTATCTCAATCTTGTTTCATGAGCTTTAGATAAAGCGCCTCTGTTGCCATTTTGAAGCAGGCGGATACTGATATATGAGACATGGAGGCTGGCTGGAGCATGGTAATTACCATTAATTAATGATTAATTGAATCTGCTCCAATGTGCTGTAATTACAGTGCATTGGAGCAGCCTCTGCATTCATGTATAGGCACCTGAAGTTAGCATGCTGAGCTGGTGACATGCTGACTGTACTATGCCCATGGGAGTCCTGGGTTTTATTCCTCCCTGCACTTACACTCCTAGAGAGATTTGGCTTGGCTGGGGAGGCAGCAACCATCTCTTACTCTTGCATCTGTTGTTCCCTCCCATGGCCTTTTATCCTGGCATTGGTATGAAGGAACTTTCCCCTACTGGTACTTTCTACTCCTGAGTTACTTTAGAGGTCCTGGATTCTTGCCATGCCTGACATATGGAGAGTACAGGAAACTAAGTAGAAAACCTTTAACATAAGGCTTGGCTTATCTATGCTACAGAGTTGTTGTATTCGGACATCTAGGTCTATTCTGCCAGTAAAACCCTGTAGTGTAGAATAGGGTGTAGAATTGTTCTATCAGCTTTGCTGGACTCCCTGCTCTGGCTAGAAATTAAAAAGAGGAGTAGAGACCGACCGAGTCATCAAGAGTCACCTTTTGCCTCTTGCCTTTCCCCTGGTTTCTGTCTTTACTTTTGTGTCGCTCTAACTTACTCCTTGTTTACTTCTCTCCTGCTGCCCTTGTTCCTCATCTGCTTTTCCAAACTTTACCCATGTCACAGTTACCACTTCACCCCATTATTTTAGATATATAATTGTAAAACTTACCAGCGCTTAGTAAGGGCTTGTCTAATTGAATCAGCTCAGTTAAAAGGCTTTAACTTTTGTGTCTGGACACTATTTATTTTAAAGCTGGTTCTGGCAGTTTAGCAGTGTCTATACATTGACTGGCATGAATCAGACTGCACTGAAACAGGTATAAACCATCATAAAAGTATCCACTTGCACAACATTGGACCAGTTTGACTGAACTGAGGTCAAATTGCTCTTTTAGTAATCGGTGTACAGGCACATATAGGGATGATGTGTTCTCTTCATCTATCCTTTACATTGCCAGGTAAGACAGCAAATGGAAGAGAAGGTTGCTCAGAAATCATCTGAACTGGAACAGTATTTGCAGAGAGTGCGTGAACTGGAAGAAATGTATAAACAGCTACAGGAAGCTTTGGAAGATGAGAAACAGGCACGTCAAGATGAAGAGACTGTAAGGAAACTTCAAGCCAGGTCTGATCTTAATCTTACAGGTCACAGTAGAAATAAACCAATTCTCTTGTGGGGAGGGCCAGAGAGAGGTAGGGGTTGGGGCCTGGGGTGTCAGCATCTGTGGGAGTCCCCTGGATAGTATGTAGCAGGGAGTTTGTTTGTTGGTTTATTAGATTGACATCCCACCCTATCCAAATGGCTCAGAACACTAACTAGAAACAAACAACCCAGAGGCAGTTTACCCAAACACTTCCCCTAAACTTGGGAATTCCCACTTCCCCAAAACAATGCCGCCTTGACCAACCTCCCTCTCCACCACAAGTCATAGATTCATAGATGCTAGGGTCGGAAGGGACCTCAATAGATCATTGAGTCCGACCCCCTGCATAGGCAGGA